AGCCGGCTTTAGAATCAGTTGGTGTTGTGAAATTAACCAAACGGTATGAAGGTTTACGTCTTTTACGACTGCAATCAGTGACTATAAAAAGGTAGATGCTTTAGCTATACTACTTCATTATGTCAAACTCGGAATTAAACTTGCCCGAATTTTGCACACCGTATACTCTCGAAGGTAGGCTATCCGTACGTCCTTACGTTTACAATGGACTTATGATGAAATGTCTTACTAACAGTTAACCATGCGCTATAATTATCTTGCATGTAATAACATATCTTACAATCATTTGAAACGTAATTTTATTTCTATACATTAATGATGGTAACATAGAGTCCTATGTGACGCTGTTTTCATATAGTGAGACCATATAAATCGTGGCACCATGACATCAAATAGCAGTAATAATAAAATGAATGTTTTAACAGTTATAGTCTCACATAGTAGTTATTGTGGTCATGTATAAAGTCATCCCTTATAGCCAGAGATCATTTAAGTGACCTAGCCAAATTTAATGTGACATTTTAAGTTTATTTCATTTACTTTAATATCGAAGCTTAAAAGATCAAGTCTTGTAACGCGTTAATTGCGTTCTTCTGGGTTTTGGCGCCGTGTAGACTCTTCAATAAATGCCAACATTTCGGAGAAACATACTGTCTCCATCTTCATGGCTGAAGTAGCGTTGTTAGAAGTGGAGGGATTTATATAGGGCAGTAGAGGGGTATTTTGTTGGCCCAGGACAGGGAGTCTTTGGTTAATTCGGTGATGAACCTTCGGTTTCCCTAAGCCATCTAGTTGGTTAGTTAGTTAGTCGAGGAAGGACAGACCGAAAGAGTAGGTCTATCAGATAGTTCTAATCATATTATAACTTATAATATTTAATTCTTCAAAACAGAAAAATGGACCGTTGCTTTACAGCACTTCACCGTTTGTGGCTATGTGAACTAAGCTGTAACCTGGCACAGAACGCTGGGTGATACGTGTTTCCATCATACGCCTGTTGAGTAATGAACCGTGAATGGTAATTATTCCAGGTGACAAGCCTGGCAGTGAAGATTTAAACTACGGTACTGTCTGCTTTTGAGGTCACAAACATGGCATTGTGCAGGTGAAATATCGTTGCTAGTTCCTGCAAATACAAATGCTTCTCTCCGATGGGACGTACAAATCAGTAGCTGTAACTGATTAGTAGGAATGTAATGTTCAAAGGAAAGTCATACCTGAAGAGATTACTTAAATTCAGTGGGCTGTATCTATTTCAGTTTTACGTAACATCCAAACGACATACTGTCTGTTGCTCATGAAAAATTGAAAGTGTGAATTATGTACATTTTTGTATGTAGTTTGGATCCTGAGTTTAGTTAATTTGGTTATTATTATTTGAAAATGCTTCTCTTTTAATCTGAAACTAAATTGGTGAATTGAAATCGACTCCGATTATTATATAGGACTACCTCACTGTGGGGATATTAACCAGGTCTCTTTTCGTTACCCACGCCATAGACAAAGGTTTGTAGTACAAGACAAACCAGAACAACACAATCCATGTGAAATTATTAAAGCATAAGTATGACAGGATTCTTAGTATCTTAAAGTTTTAAGGTCAGCAGTAGCAATATTTAAACTTTATCAAAATTTAATGACTGAAAATTTTCTGTCTCTCTCTCGTCTTCGTTCTTACTGATGAAGTGCGAGTTGAGACAATTTTCTGGCAACTTTTAATGATGGAATTCGTGTATTGAATCCTGTAATAACCGAATTACGTGAAGAATTTTAGCGCTAAGCTCGAAATTAAAGGTTATTTCTCTGTCCAAAAAAGGAAGCACTTGTTTTAAACTAAAATACAAGATCAGAAGGCAACTGTAATTATTGTTCATAAGGTAAGGGATGCCTGCAAACTTAATATCACGGAAGGCAATTGAATTTTAGCTGTGTTCCGTTACGTGTGTTTGGGAATTCTTTATAGAATTAACTGAGATTAGTTCTTGGGTAATTGGAAGAAAGACAAAGAGGAAATAGATGTGTACATAGAGAAAATAAGAAAGAAACGTAGAAAGACAACGAGGAAATGAAGTGAGGAAAAAATTAAGACAGAATGCAAGAAAGAAGGTAAAGTATGAAAGAGATATTACAAGGAGATAAAATTTCCTATCGACTTCCACATTACTTAAATTAATACACTAAAATAAGGGGAAGGGGGGAAACATAACACACAAACAAAAATTAGGAAGGAAGAAAGAGAGATATTAAGTAGAAGGGTGTAAAGAAACACACCAAGATAGAGTGAGGAAAAATACTGCAGATGCCAGTCTGTGACTCGTAGTGGCAATGTCCGAGGCCTGTTCGTGTTGATAACATTGCGATTCAGTGACTGATCGCGTTGCTTTATTTGGGCAGTTCTTTATTCTCTTGACTACTTGTGCTGATTGTAGATTGTGAACCCCATACACGGGCAGGAAGACACCGGATCTGTCCGCTCATGCCAATATCGGCGAATGATCTGATACAGCCGGTGCGTGTGAGATTTGCGTCCAGATGGTACTGACAGCGGGCACATGCGGTTGGTAAGGACTGACGTTGACAAATACAGTGCGCGGTGGTCAGCGCTATCGGCCCACCTGGTCAGGGACCGAGGCAGGAAGATGAATGTCCTAAGATTTATAGGCGGGCTTAAACTGTTTCTTAAGGCAATTGATCAGTACAGCGTATCCTATTCGTACAATTACGGCCTCCATTACACCATTCATCTGACTCTAGAGATTTTTGATAACGGCTGATTCATTACAATGCATGTATGTTTCGTAATCCCTACTCTGTGTCAGGTATATTTAATATAAACGACGTTTCGGGCGCTTCTCCTACTCCGGACTTTACGCGACTGGTCATGCAGGAAGTTATTTCTATTGTTCGTTTACTTCAGTTAGGCCTATTCTTGAACAAGTACTGATGTATGTTCTTGAACATTTACCTTCGACAATTATTGCAGAAACACAACGTCTCGGAAGATGGTTATGCTTACGTCATCAGGTGAAAATATGTTCTATCCCTTGGATGAAGGTAATCTAAGACCCCTCTAGTTGGTACTCAGTATTCAAGGCCTTCGTTGAAAGTTTGTAGTTGCATACCTGGTCAAGAAATTTTCTGGTTGTGTGGAATTCTAATATACGTGACTCTGTTTACGAAGGCAACTGTTAGATTCTATCCTGTACCAGTGGAATCCACCCCATACCCTCGCATCGTATTTCTTTAATATATTTTTAATATTATTCTTCTATCTATATCTACTTCACCCTAATGGTCTCTTCAATTAAGGTTTGATAACTAACTCTTTGCATGAATTTCTTATTGCCCCTGTGAGTGCTACGTGTACCGTCCAATTTATTTTATTTTTTATTTCATTATTTTAAAAGTACAAATTACAAAGCTCCGCGTTATCTTATATCTAAAAATAAAACTGTAGGCATGTATGTTCACTTGTAGCTTCAAACTTGGCGTGTTTATTCCTTGAGACCAGAAAGAGAACACAGGAAAGTTAAAACTCAGAGAAAGTGTTCTGAGTTTGAGTCCCGGTGAGGACAGTGTTTGTAACTCGAAAACTATGTAAGATATAAGAACGAGGCGAAGAACAAAGTTGTTTAGAGGGCAAAGGACAATAATACCGAAAATCAATTTGGGCTGGAGTCCCGATGAAGATGGTGCGTGTAGCTCGGTAACAAAGCACGAAATAAGAAGAGAATCAAAAACTTTTTTTTGGCGGGGAAAATACGGGGTTATAGGTTATAAACCGTGATCATTCGATATATATATCAGTTAGTATTGTAGTAACAAATTAGTATTCCTAAACCCAATCTCTTCACGGGAACTCGAACCTAGGACAGTCATGCTCCTGTTATAAGCTTGAGGGGGGGGGGGGGGGGGGGGTGGATATGAAATGTACACATTTCTAGAATTTCATCACAGTAACAATTTAAATTTCTCCAGATCCTTTTACACAATCTTTCCCTCTCTTAAATGCAGATATGATCCTCAAAACTTCTTTCTCCAGAGTCCTTTATCTGTATTGTTCTATCAGAGTTAGATACTATAGTATGGCATAGGCTACGTCAAGAATCAGTGACCACGTTTCATATAATGTAAACTTCTGTGTTACAGGGTTATATTAAAGTTTTGCTATTTTCTAGAACAATTTTGTTCCGTTTTGCTAGGTATCTTGTTCGTTCTTGGTTGTGACTTTGACTCTAAACGAAGACCTAAAAAGACAGATGAATATCTTGACGCGTACTTTAAGATATTTCCTTTCAGAGTAACAGCCAACATTAAGAGGAACGAAGTAAGTTAATGCAGCGTAGAAGTTCTGCATTAACATTGGCTCTTTCGCTCCAGGGCTTGGTAATAAAATGAAACTGTATCAAGGGCAGTCTACGTTTACTTGATTCTTTTGGAATGTTCATTCATGAAGAAATCCTACTACTGGAGGTCGCTGTGTCTATACATGGCTTTATGGGTTGTGACGCCGTGTGGACGTGTAGGCGGGTTCCTCAGTAGCCGTCACAGAATTCCATGCTTCGAGGTTAAAGAAAAATCGTACATTGATGTAACACGAACATTGAATCCAGGGCGAGTGAAGACTGCTCAGATCCCGCAGTTAACAACGCTGTTCTGGTGACTTGGAGCCGCGCTGTAGGAGGGGTCAAGTCCTTCCCTGGCCTTGAAACACGCAGTTTTGTGATTATTTGGACCTCATCTATTGCAAAATTGAATAAATACAGTGCAATTATCACCTGTTAATATTCCTTATTGAATTGAAGGTTCGTGATATATTGTGTTAATGATTAAGGCAACTTGAAACGCAACTCATTTGAATATTTGGACAAATTATGACGTTTAAAATGCTCCCTCTCTCTCTGTGCTCACACCTCAGGCTATTTGCAGACTTCTGAATCTAGTAACGTTTTTGTAATTTATCTGCCTGGCTATAAAACTGACGTTTACTTTTGTTTCAGGGCTCTGCCATTTGTCAAAATGAGGCCTGTACAAATTCTACTCCTGACGTTCGTTATCATCTGTGGCGGTAAGTACAAGAACTTATTTTAACACGAGACTTTATGAATATGAAGAAAATTATATTTAATTTCCTCCCTTATCTCGTAACTAAGTCTTTGTCGCGTATTGTTGTTACTGTCATTTATTTCACTTCTAAAAATTGTTTATTTCTAACTGAAAGCCGAGTAGATGTATCTTTCCAGTGGCACGATCGCGTTGTCGAAAAACTGACTGAATGTACACGCGATGTTTTAAATAAGTTTAGTGAGCATTTGTTGTGTGTACATTTAACATGTGGAAAATCTGGTATGTTGACTCCATCGTACTTTCCCCGCTAAAATAACTGAAAGTCATATATTTTACTAGAGTAGAGTTGGATGGCATTTACAGATAGTCGATATTTTCGTAATAGAGGTTACATGTACCCAACTAACTCCCTTGGTGTAACCGTCGTTATATATCATAAGCTTTGGTCATGTGAGGTATTAATATTCATTTTATGTGAGAAGAGTTTTCTGTTGATTGCGATAACCGAACAGGCCGATGCTCGTCCCCGAGGGACGCGTATTCGAATCCTGCTTCTGATATGGATGCATGACAGTCTTCCGTGTTTTCTTGAAATATACAGAGTTTTGCGATGGACCCATTCCCCATCCAAGATTGTCTGATACATTAATTTATAGACAGGATTGTACACCATTTTGCTAAGAGAAAAAATAAATAAATGTGGTTTCACTGAGACTCTGATGTCTTTTGTTTTAGAATTCCAGTAACTTAGTAATTTTTAGGTGTTAAAGTATGTCTCCGTAAGTGTGGATTATATTAAAATATTTGTTTTTTATCGCAATTGATAATTTAAAATAAATTAATTGTTTTACTAAGAAGGCTACGTCAAGAATCAGTGACCACGTTTCATATAATGTAAACTTCTGTGTTACAGGGTTATATTAAAGTTTTGCTATTTTCTAGAACAATTTTGTTCCGTTTTGCTATGTATCTTGTTCGTTCTTGATTGTGACTTTGACTCTAAACGAAGACCTAAAAAGACAGATGAATATCTTGACGCGTACTTTAAGATATTTCCTTTCAGAGTAACAGCCAACATTAAGCGGAACGAAGTAAGTTAATGCAGCGTAGAAGTTCTGCATTAACATTGGCTCTTTCGCTCCAGGGCTTGGTAATAAAATGAAACTGTATCAAGGGCAGTCTACGTTTACTTGATTCTTTTGGAATGTTCATTCATGAAGAAATCCTACTACTGGAGGTCGCTGTGTCTATACATGGCTTTATGGGTTGTGACGCCGTGTGGACGTGTAGGCGGGTTCCTCAGTAGCCGTCACAGAATTCCATGCTTCAAGGTTAAAGAAAAATCGTACATTGATGTAACACGAACATTGAATCCAGGGCGAGTGAAGACTGCTCAGAACCCGCAGTTAACAACGCTGTTCTGGTGACTTGGAGCCGCGCTGTAGGAGGGGTCAAGTCCTTCCCTGGCCTTGAAACACGCAGTTTTGTGATTATTTGGACCTCATCTATTGCAAAATTGAATAAATACAGTGCAATTATCACCTGTTAATATTCCTTATTGAATTGAAGGTTCGTGATATATTGTGTTAATGATTAAGGCAACTTGAAACGCAACTCATTTGAATATTTGGACAAATTATGACGTTTAAAATGCTCCCTCTCTCTCTGTGCTCACACCTCAGGCTATTTGCAGACTTCTGAATCTAGTAACGTTTTTGTAATTTATCTGCCTGGCTATAAAACTGACGTTTACTTTTGTTTCAGGGCTCTGCCATTTGTCAAAATGAGGCCTGTACAAATTCTACTCCTGACGTTCGTTATCATCTGTGGCGGTAAGTACAAGAACTTATTTTAACACGAGACTTTATGAATATGAAGAAAATTATATTTAATTTCCTCCCTTATCTCGTAACTAAGTCTTTGTCGCGTATTGTTGTTACTGTCATTTATTTCACTTCTAAAAATTGTTTATTTCTAACTGAAAGCCGAGTAGATGTATCTTTCCAGTGGCACGATCGCGTTGTCGAAAAACTGACTGAATGTACACGCGATGTTTTAAATAAGTTTAGTGAGCATTTGTTGTGTGTACATTTAACATGTGGAAAATCTGGTATGTTGACTCCATCGTACTTTCCCCGCTAAAATAACTGAAAGTCATATATTTTACTAGAGTAGAGTTGGATGGCATTTACAGATAGTCGATATTTTCGTAATAGAGGTTACATGTACCCAACTAACTCCCTTGGTGTAACCGTCGTTATATATCATAAGCTTTGGTCATGTGAGGTATTAATATTCATTTTATGTGAGAAGAGTTTTCTGTTGATTGCGATAACCGAACAGGCCGATGCTCGTCCCCGAGGGACGCGTATTCGAATCCTGCTTCTGATATGGATGCATGACAGTCTTCCGTGTTTTCTTGAAATATACAGAGTTTTGCGATGGACCCATTCCCCATCCAAGATTGTCTGATACATTCATTTATAGACAGGATTGTACACCATTTTGCTAAGAGAAAAAATAAATAAATGTGGTTTCACTGAGACTCTGATGTCTTTTGTTTTAGAATTCCAGTAACTTAGTAATTTTTAGGTGTTAAAGTATGTCTCCGTAAGTGTGGATTATATTAAAATATTTGTTTTTTATCGCAATTGATAATTTAAAATAAATTAATTGTTTTACTAAGAATTGTTTTTTACGAAACGATGAATTAACAGAAGCGGAAATGCTTTTGTCCAGCGGATTAAATGTTTTCATGTGTGGTTTTGTATTTTTATGCCTCAGTAGATTTCATGTTCGGTTGCTGCCGTTACGAATCTATTATTCCAAGTTCTAACCTACTGTTGCGAAGCTAATCGCACTAAATAGCGTGTACCAGGGTTTCTCAAACCGCAACCGGCAGGCCGTGTGTGGCCGTCGTGTTTTATTATCGGCCCGTTTGCATTTTTACAATAATGTGGTATTCCGTATGATGTAAAATGGTTGCCTGGTATCAGAACACACGCTTAGTTAATGTCGTCAGGATCCCGCGGTAACTACCGCTGTGAGCAACTTTCAGGTTAATGAAGAACGTCAGAGCAGGAAGTACACCGCGTCTTAGCTGATGAACGCTTGGAGGAATGATGAATGCGAATCGCAACAACGGAAATTAAACTTAATTCTGAAAGATTAATCAATCAAAAGCTGTGGCAGACATCTCATTGATGACTGAAAATGATTAAAAACAATTAATTAATTAGTATCGGCCTGTTTAAACCACTTCGAAATATTAAAAAATTAATATTATAAATAAATTCGTACGTATTTAAGTTAATTATCCTATTTTATAAACTGTTGGTTAACGATGAATTTTAAATGAACGGCTTCGCTGTTTTCTGACGTATCAGGTACCACACTGAACCACTAAAGTAAGACAGATACTCTTGTTATCTTTCAAAAAGCTATTTATGGCTTTACAACAATATAATTTTTCTTGGATAAAATCGAGCATGGTAAAGGCGAGAATACTCTTATTATCTTTCAAAAAGCCATTTATGGCTTTTCAACAATATAATTTTCCTTGGATAAAATCGAGCATGGTAAAGGCTGTAATTTATATATTGATTCCAGATACTTGTTAGTCTGATTTGGTTAATTTATTTGGTCGTTTCTCCCTTGATGTGAACATCGCTATTTCTGGCTGTCTGCACTGTTCTGAGTTAGACAGCCTTCAGTACAAAGATTGTTCAGCAGACTTAAAACCACAGTTTTGGGGATGCGGATGATTTTGGAAATACAGAGGAATCTTTGCTCGGTGTAACATCAGTCTGACACATGCGACAAGGGACCCTTTAACTGACTGTGACCATGTCTCATTAGTTAGACGACGCTTTGTCTAGAACACCAAAGTTTCCTTCTTCTCTCATCCACCCTACGTCATTGATGTTTCGATTGTAGTAGAGGATATTCCATCTGCAGGAGACCTAAATGGTAACTGTACTAAACATATGGACAAGTTTTTTTTTGTTGAGAATTTCCCCTGGGGAAATCAACTGGTTATATTTGCTGCTTCTATCTAGACCCATCTTCGTTGATAGAAGTCTGCAGTTTGATGTAGCTTTTACCAGTGGTAAAGCCATGTAATTTCCATTTTCTGCCAGTATTCTTGTGATGTAGGTTTTGTAGTGAGTCAGATGTTTTATAAATATTTAGAAGATTAATTAATTCAGTAATGTTGTTCCCTTTATTCGTGATAATCTCTTCAAGTTGAGAAGAATCATCCTCTTTAATTTTCTTGCATGTACTGTAGATGACCTATTTGCACCTGCCGCTTGCTAGTTGTTTACTCCTTTCAGGCGTTGAATACACAGTACGTCAGTAGCAGGGTCAAAAGGCCAAAGCCTAAACTTGGTCGCGCTTTATAAATTACATTATATGTAATTTAGTAAAATATAACACTTCAGCCAGAGTACGTGCTTTGATTTTTATATTATAATCGTGCAAATTTTCGTAGATAAATTCAGAATAGTTTACCAAACTTGTGAGGACCGTTTAATGTCTAAGCGGGAAGTGAATGTTAACAGTCAATAATTCCGCGGCTTCATATGATTTTTAGAGTAAACATCGATTATTTCCTTAAACAGCATCGAGTTAATCTTCGTAATGGTTGTTTTCTTTGCGGTACGGATTGGATTTTTAAACATTATTAAGAGGATCATCGGTTTCATATGATTTTTAGAGTAAACAGCGATTATTTCCCTAAACAGCATCGAGTTAATCTTCGTAATGGTTGTTTTCTTTGCGGTACGGATTGGATTTTTATATATTATTAAGAGGATCGTCGGCTTAAGAGATTTAAGAAATCGCTGTTACTGAAACGACATCTCATCATCAAGATTTTGGACATTACATTCATTTCTTAACTTCGCAGCGTCTTTATTTAAGTTTCACTTTAATATTATCCTTCCTCTCACTTATATGCTTTAAAAGTTTTCCCTGTGCGTTCTACATGTTTCACTCACT